TCGCGGAAGGCAGTGGCGCTGGCATGGCCCAAGACCGTCAGGGCCCTGAAGAGTCTCCCCGAGGCTCAGCGTGCTCGGCACGTTCGCGGCCCCATGTTTTCTGTCATCCTGTATATATTGCAAGCAGGGTGGGCCCCCCTCTCGGTCACGTCGTGGCAGGTGCCGCGTGACGGGTCGGCGGACACTCACACGCGGGTTTTCCACTACGAGCCTTTCGCCAGTCTGGACCGGGCGCAGCCGCTCCTTGACGAGGTGATTGCCACGCTTTTTGAGCAACAGTGGAGGCAGGCCGCTCAGGAGTTTTGCGGCAGTGGACTCGAGCACGTCGCAGACCTGCTCAGTCTTCGGCATTTCATCCAGTCGCTCCTGGACGTGCGCAAGGGCCGTCAGCTGTCAGAGCTGATGGTTTCCATTGCCACTGGGGTTTCTTGGACTCAGCAGAGGAAGTGCGAGGCGCGTCTGGCAGACAACGGCTTGTGCTTGAGATGCGGAGAGGGCGTCGACACTCCGATCCACCGCTGCTGGCTACGTCCGACGAGCTCGTGCCAGAGGCAGTGGCGGAGCAAGATTCGTGTCCTGCCTTTTGGATGAGAGGCACCATCCCTGCCCAGTGGACCTCTGTTCAGCCTCCTGTGGCTTCTGAAATCCTTTCTGGAGGCTCTCTGGAAGGTGGTGTGGTTGGCGTGTGGTGTCTCGGGCACAGGACCCCCGAGTGCCCCGTCCTCATTTTTGGAGATGCCTCTGGAGGCCAGGACACTCACGACTGCAAGCTTATGTTGTTCCCATCCTACTTAATGACCACATCCCAGAAACAATTTCGAGCACCCGGAAAAGTGTCGAAAGAGTGTCGAAACATTGTCGAAACGGTGTCGGGCGAGTGTCTCCCGGGGCCCGACACGTGAAAACCCTTGAGTCTCGGTGCTTGCTGGGGCGCGCGGAATTCTCCCTGGTGATCCAGGCTAAAGTAGGTTGGAGCATCACGACTCTAGTCGGGAGCGGCAAAGAGGGGGGTGTCCAAGAGGGGGGGGTGCAAATCATGACCGGCGGCATGTGCGCGGCCCAGCTGGGGGGGCCAGGAACGTAATGAAATAAGAAGAGGCGCCATGAGATCTGGGGAAATATCATGGCCCCCGCCATGATATCCACCCCCCCCTAATTAGTCATCACCCCCCCCTTTTCCGCCCCCGATCTAGGCTTAGGCGCGTGGGGCCTGCGGTGGCAACTTTCTCTGGTCTCTCCCCGTGCGGTCTCGGAGCGCACGTGCTGGGCCTTGCGCCAGGCCCCTCGCAGACCGTCCCGCGAGGGGGGCTCCTGGCGTTCGTCTCGGCTCCACGCTTCACGAAAGGACCAGTTTTACGTCGGGCCTGTCCCCCTACAAGGGGATTTTCGACGACAAATAAAACATACCCCAAAAATGATCCAGACACAGTCCAGAAATAATATGGGGACTATTTTTTATTTGTTTGACTTGTTGGTGTATTTTTGGTGTATTGTTTTAATTTTTCGTCGAAAATCACCCTGTAGGGGGACACGCCAGACTTAAGACCAGTTGTTTTTGTCACGGACTGCGCCGGGGTCGCTAGAGGGTGGTACGATCGCGCTGTCACGCGCCCCGCTGGACCCCATGCTGGCCTCTGACGTGAGATCCATCAGCATGCCACCTGCAGGGGGGGGAGGCCTCTGTCGCCATCCTTCAAGTGCCCTCACACACGCGACGGGCGAAGAAGTAGTGTCGCAGGGTTGGCCGCCGTGGCTCGTACAGGGGAATGCATGCATCGACATGTTGGCAGGAGAGGCGGCCGCCCGCGCGAGAGTTTCGCAAAAGGAGAGGCATCGTGTGCTGCAGGTTGAACGCAAGGCGCGCCTGGTGCGCAGGCGCCTGCTCAGAGTTGGCCTGGAGTCGATCAGAGCCTCACAGGAAGCTGGGATCGTCCCGATCGGTTCTGGCTCCCGCCTCCCGCCTCCTCCCCCTCCCACTGCTGTCGCACGCTTCGCGTCCGCCCACTCCCTGGCCGAGAATGGCAGGTCGTGTACAGTGTGCCGTGGTTCAGCGTCCACAGACAAGGAGTGCGAATGGTTAAAAAGTGAGTGCTTCCATCTTCTGCCCATCGACGGTAAGGTCTCCCGAGTTCCCCCTAGGCGGCTTTTACACTTGGCTGGCGGTTGGACGCACCCCTCCCACGCACTGCGGTATCACCAAGTCCTTGTTGTGTGGTGTTGCACCAGTTGCGGATATTTAGGCCAGGCCCAGCTCAGGGGCTTAGGACTCCTATGCCGCTCACTTTCGATCACCTCCTGCTCCTCCTCCTCCTCCTCCTTCTCCTCCTCCTCCTCCTCCTCGTCAGCATCACTGTCCTGGCTTAGGGGTCCATGGCCAACTTCCACCGGTCTTCCGCCGTCGGAGCCGCCCCCGTTTTACGCTCTGCCCGCTTCCGCTGGCCGTCCCGCGGCCCTCCGCCGAGGGCGAGGTGTCGATCTGCCCACCTCTCGGCGGCGAACCCCTCTTCCGGAGCCGCCCCCAGGCGAGTGCCGACGCACGTCTGCTCGGAGCCGCCGCCCTCGTGCGCAGCAAGCGACGAGAGGAGGGGGTCGCACAGCGGTGCCGTGACAGACCGCGCGGCGGCGTCGAGACCCCAATGCGTCACCGCGCGGCTTTGCTTTGTGACCGTGCAGGCCCCAGCCGCGCGAGAGATCCTCGGAACACGACCCAAGATCCCAAACCGTGCGGTCACCCCAAATCCCCACTGACTTGCCACGCGGCATGGTCAACGCACCGCTTCGGGGACCCCGGGACGAGGAGTGGGGGATCCTGTTAAGTCGCCGGATATTGGCGGCGCGCAGGGTTAAAACAGGGCTAGGATCGGGATACATCGCTCCAGTATCTATTTGTTGTCTACTAGGGTCGCTCTCAGAGCGTTCCGGAACGCTCTGGAGCGGCCGCGGCGCCCAATACATCCTCCAAACCCGCCGATTCTCAGAGATTTCGAGTTATCCCGATCCGATGTTGTCTCGATCTTCGCGTCGTTTCAAGGGTGGGGGATCCTGCGAAGTCGCCAGAGATGGGCGCCGGCCTTCTGAGAAGCCCGCGCCCTCCAAACACAAAGAAAGTCTGAAGGGAGTTCCCGCACTGAAACCAAAAAAGAAAGCCTAGAGTTAAGTCGGGCGTGTCCCCCTACAGGGGGATTTTCGACGACAAATAAAAAATACCCCACAAATGCCCCAAAAAGGGCAAAACATATCCCCAAAATAGTCCCTAGACTATTTTATGTTTTTTTTAATATTAGTTTGTGGTATTCTTTATTTTTCGTTGAAAAATCCCCCTGTATGGGGGACAGGCCCGACTTTAAAGTCTAGAGGGAGAGATCCAGGATGGGCTCCCGAAGTGGCAGCCCCCGTTGCACGGAGAGGGGGGGGGGAGGAGACGGGGCCCAGGGCCTGTGGTTGATGGACCACTTCCTCGTCCCGAGTCCCGAGGCTGATGGGCTTCTAGTAGAGGAGGGAAGCGACAAGGAGGACGAGGAGGAGGAGGAGGAGGAGGAGGAGGAGGAGGAGGAGGAGGAGGGGGAGGAGGAGGAGGAGAGGAGGAGGAGGAGGAGGAGGAGAGGAGGAGGAGGAGGAGGGGGAGGAGGACGGGGAGAGCACCGCCAGGGACCCGGCCGGGGTGGCACACCCCCTGGAGAGGCCACCGGGGCACTCTCCGCTGCCGCCGCCAGCCAGCAGGCTTTCTCGGCCCCGCCTCGTCCTGGCCTCGGTGCCAGTCGCCGGGCTGCCGCGAGGGGGTCCGCAGGCGGAGCCCAAGGGACGCCTCGGGCCCCTCCCATCCTCCCAGCCTCCTCCACCTCCTCCTCCTCCTCCTCCACCTCCTCCTCCTCCTCCTCCAAAAAACACATATAAAAATCAAGAGGGGGAGCAACAAACACATAAAAAGCACAGAAAACATACAAGAGGGGGAGCAACAAAGCACATAAATATAAACTGTCGACGGTCCGCGGGCCCCCCTCCTTGGCGCGCGGAGCGCGCCAGGGGCGGCGCCGGAGGCGCCGCGAGGGGGGGGGAGGCGTGCGCGGAGCCAAGAAACCCGCGCGGAGCGACAAAAGCGTATGCTTGTGGCGCTTCTTCTTGCCCGATCTCCTCCTCCCTCCAGTTCGTTGCCCTCCTGATCCTTTCTCTCCCACCCTCCCACCCTCCTCCAACCCTCCCTCCCCTCCTCCCGCCTTTCTTCTGGCTTTGTCCCATCCTCCCACCCTCCTCCTCTCCTCCTCCCTCCAGCTCGCTGCCTTCCTGCTCCTCTCCCTCCTCCTCCTCCCTCTTATGACCTTTCCTTCCACAGCGCCGTCGGATCCTGTGGCGTCCGCTCCTCGTCGTCGTCGTCCTCCTTCTCCTCCTCGTCCTCCTCCTCCTCCTCCTCGTCCTCCTTCTCTCTGTCCTCCTCCTTCCTCCATCTGGGGCCTCCTCCTCCTCCACACACACACTGTGATGCTTGAGGCAGGAGGTGCAGATCAGGTGTGAGAGAGAGAGAGGCAAAGGGAGAAAGCGAGAGAGGGATTAAAAGTATAATGATGAAGACAAGGCTGAAAGTTCGTAGAAAGGGACTCCATCATCCCCCGGCCTCTCCTCCTCCCCCTCCTCCTCCTCCTCCTGCTTCTCCTCCTGCTCCCTAATGCTGCTTCGCAACTGCTCTGATTCCTGACTCCCGATTCCCCCTCCTCTTCCTCATGCTCCTTCCCTCCTCCTCTTGAGGGGAGACAGAATCACGGGGGGAAGCATCGACCTGACATCGGTGATACATCGCCGATGGATCGGCGATATAGGCACTCAAGAGCATATCCGCACGTTCCTGGGGTGCGCGAGCTATCGGGCCCCTATCGGCGACGACTGGGCGATTAGGGGCCATTCTGAGCAATTCCCTGAGCAATTCCCTGACGTAGCCCATTCTGAGCAATTCCCTGACGTAGCCCCTGACCCCTCCCCCATACCCTGGCGGCGGCCGAGCCCAGCGCTCTCTGGAACTGCTTGGCCACGCCTTGTGGCGAGACTGCCGGCTGCTGCTGACCAAACTCAGCGCCAGCGGGGAC